AAATGAATTTCATTCTACATTTAAGAATATACTTTCCTTTCAAATTTTTATATATTTTTATGTTTCTAAGAAAAATCAATTTATAAATTATATTTATTATTTAATTATTACAAAAATTATTACAAAACGTGACTCTAAGGAAAATAAAGAAAGTAAAGATGATGTAATATCACCCAAAGTGTTGAAGTTAAGATCCAGAGTAATTGTTAGAAAATATTCAAAAGACAGCAGCAGAAAATAATCAGAAAAAAAAGTGTCACCATCAAAGGTTGCTGAAAATACTTTGGAATCTTTAAGGAACGCGAACATTTAACATTTTCAACAACGAAATATATTTATCTGATTAGTGAGATTGCAATGTATTTATATTTTATATTTGTTTAACAATACAGATTTCAGTGCTTAAAACTTTTTTCATATATCCTATTGAACAACAAAAACTTGTGATATCCCCCAAAAAACACTTACGTGTAAAAAACTACGCCAAGTACAGGATTGCTGTGAATTCCTCTAACAAAAAGTATTGATATCATATTATTGAGGCCAAGTACATAAGTCACTACATGTTTTCCTATTATATGATCTAGCACTGGCCCATCATTTTAATTATATTTTTAATATTTCCTATAACGTTTTCGCTACTCTTTTATGTTACTACTGCTTCCCGTATTTAATTATGATTTAATGGTGATTTAATAATTAATAAAACTTTACAAATTCAACCATATTTTAACTACTTAAGAGGTTTAAGTACACGTACAGAGGTTTAAGAGACAAAACAATAAGAAAAAGTAAAAAAAAATCATTAAATAAAATAACCAATAAATAAATGAACAAATGCAAAAACAAAGAAAAATTAAACAACTGAAAAAAATAGTTTTAATTAATAATTTAAAGACATTTAGTATGCTCCATTGTCAGCGCGGCGGAGCGTACGGTCCTAAGCGGTTGCCCCGCTACACGTCTTTCGCATCTCGAGCGGTCCACTACCCCACCATGCGCGACAAGCGATTGTCCCCTGAGTACCTAGAGCGAAACTCACAAAATTTAGGCATTTTTTCAAATGAAAAATTTAACCCATTGGCAAATTCATGTTTAGATGTTTAAAAACGCGTTTTAATTGCTGAAATCTCAGCTACAACTTAGAATAAATATGAAATTTCTATTTCATCGCATTCCTAATGAAAAATGACGGGGAAGCTTCGGGTGCGCTTGCGATATCTCGAGATCTCCGTCACGGGATCATCTCCGAGAACAATAATTTCGTGAGAATCTGCAGTATCATTAAAGATGATATCAAGCAGAAACTGGACAAGAATGGCCGGCGCGTTCGGAAGTTATGGCCAATTAAGTGTTTTCACTTCAAGGGGGTGCAGCTCCCCCCAGAGTGATGCTGTCGGAGTTCAATGGGGGCGTTTCTTTAATGCCGAAGGATGCTCTCTCTCGTGCCATAATTAGAAATATGAACTTCCTTCTGGAACTACTAGTTTTCGCACTTTTCAAAAAGTTCCAAAATGCACTATTTCACTCCAACCCCTGCCGTTCAGCCAGTTTGTATCCGATCGGGATAAAACCTTTACCATTCGAACGGGAAGGAAATTTCCTAAAAAATATGTCTTTGGTTTTTTGAAATCGATCATAGTTTCGCATAAATACACAAAAGTTCAAGAGTTCCACTTCAATTCAACATTACTGTATGTGTTAAAGGAACATTCGCTTTCCTTGCGCCAAATATATTACGCATTGTGCCTTTTTTGACAGAACTATAATATCTAACGGTAAAAAATTGGACAGACGTTCTTATTCATATTTAAACTCATTACAACAATTTTTCTATACTTTCCTGTGAAATAACCCGCTATGAACTGTTACTCATGATGTCGCGCAAATCCCGAATTTGATTAATAAAAATTAAACATCAAGGAAATAGCGACCTGTTAATGGCAATGTATCGACTTCTATCGACTTCTATCGATAGCCATTTCCTTGAGTTTCAATTTTTATTAATTAAAGCTGTTCAAACCGTAACCACATTTATGTAAGGTACAACGCTGTCTGATTTTTTTTGTTTTAGATAATCCGAATCGCAGACATCATGCCAACCAAGCATTCGCGCAACGTCATGAGCAACGGCTCATAGCTGGCATTATTTTGCAGAAAAAGACAGAAAAAATCCTGTAATGAGTTTAACCCTTATGTGGGCACCCGAGTACCCGGGTACCCACCTCGTCACATTTTTGCTTGTAACTTTTAGAACAATTTTTTTTTCGATCTGAGCCTCCGGATCTAGGAAGTTTAACTCTTCACGAAGAGATTCCCATAGCTATACTTCGGAAAAAAAAAAATGTTTGCAATAAAAAAATGAACTTGAAGTAAGGTTACTCCCAGCGAGCACCTAGGGTACCCGGGTACCCACTAAAGAATAATTTGATATATTCATCTGTAAATCAATGTCAAATTATTGTACTTGTTTATTTATTAATCAATATTACCCTAATGGAACATTTATTAACATTAATTTATAGTGTAAATATATTAAATATCTAACTGCCACTTCCACAAACATTTGGAACATCTGCTGCTCGATAAAGCCAATAAGCTACTGGTATTAAGCAGGGTTTTTGGGGTTTTGAGGTTAGAAATCGATGGTTTTGGGATCATAGGTTAAGGGTCTGTGAGTATGAAAGTTAGGATACAAAATAGTAATCCTTTCTGCATAGGTACTTATCGTTTTGTTAATGTAATGTCTGAAATAGGTGCAAAATATCGATATTTTGACCTTTTTTTGCAATTAACTAAAAAATTTGGTGCAACCGGAAAATTCTGAGTGCAGATTCGTGATCAGCGACCCCAAAAACATGTAGTCCACCTACTCTGGTCTCGGGTGCCGGCGATTGATTTTTGTGGAGCTGTGTAATTTATGTCTACCTCGAGCTCTCGTTGTAGCCTTAGCGCATTATAAACGTAGTGATAGTCGTGCAGGATCGTTTCATAATGAATTTCGTAGACTAGCTCA